CAAATCCTTGGGGTAAGTATTCTCCGAATTGGGTGTACCGATTCGTTTGAAATTATACCACGGGAATATGGAGGCCCTAAAGTAGGTCCTGAAACTCATGAAATTTAATTTTTTAATTAAAAATATATTTATTTATCATGGATTGGAACCAACATTGCGTGGTCCGTGGACGTTTTCGATGTTTTACGCTTCCCTGCGAAGTCAAATTATTCCCCGAATTGGGTATACCGATTCGTTTCAAATTTTTGGCACGTGAATATGGAGGCCCTAAAGTAGGTCCTGAAACTCATGAAATTTGATTTTTCATCAAAAATTTATTTACTTATGCACTAGAACCAACATGGCGTAGTCCTTGGACGTTTTGGATGTTTTACGCTTCCCTGCGAAATCAAATCGTTGGGGAAAGTATTCCCCGAATTGGGTGTACCGATTCGTTTCAAATTTTACCACGTGAATATGGAGGCCCTAAAGTAGGTCCTGAAACTCATGAAATTTGATTTTTCATCCAAAATTTATTTAATTATGCACTAGAACCAACATGGCGTGGTCCGTACACGTTTTCGATGTTTTACGCTTCTTGGAGGGTTAGAATCGAAAATGAAGAATTTCAGGACCTAGCTCGAACAATTAAGAATACCGTAGAAATGGAATATTATAGACTCAGGTAGGAAAATGTGGGAAATACTTTCCCGAACGATACGTGTTTTTAGAGTAAAAATTTAGTTGCAACTAAACGTCACAGGTGGCGACGTTGGTTCATCAAAATATAAAAGAGTCATGAATTCATGGGATGTCGGTAGCTTTACATCGATCTTTTTATCATTACTTTACCGAGATGACATATGGAACCCTCCAGTTTGTATAATTCTCAACGTCGACTGTAAAAGACTTCGGTTTGGCTCGGGGCTAACACGTATTTTGAGAGCAAAAATTTAGTTCCAGCTAAACGTCACAGATGGCGACGTTGATCCGTTAAAATACTAACAGTCATGAATTCACGGGATTTCAGTAGTTTTACGTCGATGTCTTCACCATTACTTTACCGAAATAACATATGTAACCCTTCAGTTGGTATAATTCTGAACATGGACTGTAAAAGACCAACATAAACATAAATTTCGCTAATGAAACGCGGCAGCTTATGTTCCCACTTGAGTATTTAAAACGACGTTTCCATCAAAAAGGGTATAGATGAGTTTTAATTTATCGCCGTCGATTAAATTTCTCAGCACCTTTCATATCGTCTTAAGGACTCGTAACTTGGCAGCGCTAATTATGAATTGGCAGCCTTCGTCCCCAAACCCGCAAGACCGTCACGAAACATAGCGTGACCAGCAAACCGACTGCAAAGCGAAGGGCGGAGTGTTGGATGCAACCAAGTGCAGCCAAATGGGAGTGGTCTCCAATCACGAGGGGCGTGGTGTACGTTCTGCGTGTCGCCGCCACGTCTTATCCCGACTTGCGCCACGCCGGCCGTGACGAATTACGCCACGCGAGCGTGGATGCGTGAAAAACGTGCACGCACTCTCCACCCACCTTGCGGCTCCGTCGACCGCCTATGATCTATCGCGACGTGTACACTGTTGGTCATGAATGGCTTCCTCGTGTATAAGGCGCCGCCAGGTGGCGGGGTCGACCTGCTTGTACCCGCTCGTACACGCTTCTACGTCTTTCTACGACATTGTACTGATTTTTTGGCACCTGCTTTCACTGCAGTTCGACGGGGAAGGTACATCCCTTCAAATTGGTTAATCAAACGAGGGATTGGGATTTTTTTTCAGGGGAGATACACGGATTTGAAGCGATTTTCGAGAGGGTCCATGACGTTTTCAACCCGTTCTCGGGCTGCCCTGTCCCTGATGAATTTTTTCCGCACCTGCAATCTCTTCAGCCCGACGAGGAAGATTTTTCCCTTCAAATTGATCTTCGGCGCGAGCGGCTGGGATTTTTTTTCAGGGGAAATTCAGGGATTTGAAGCGATTTTCTTGGGGGTTCATGACGTTTTCTGCCCGTTTTCGGGCTGCCCTGTCCCTGATGAATTTTTTCCGCACTTGTAATCTCTTCAGCCCGACGAGGAAGATTTTTCCCTTCAAATTGATCTTCGGCGCGAGCGGCTGGGATTTTTTTCAGGGGAGATTCAGGGGTTTAAAGCGATTTTCGAGAGGGTCCATGACGTTTTCAGCCTGTTTTCGGGCTACCCTGTCCCTGATGAATTTTTTCCGCACTTGTAATCTCTTCAGCCCGACGAGGAAGATTTTTCCCTTCAAATTGATCTTCGGCGCGAACGGCTGGGATTTTTTTCAGGGGAAATTCAGGAATTTGAAGCGATTTTCGAGGGGGTCCATGACGTTTTCCGCCCGTTTTCCGGCTGCCCTGTCCCTGATGAATTTTCTCCGCACCTGCAATCTCTTAAGCCCGACGAGGAAGATTTTTCTCTTCAAATTGATCTTCGGCGCGAGCGGCTAGGATTTTTTTTCAGGGGAAATTCAGGGGTATGAAGCGATTTTCGAGAGGGTCCATGATGTTTTCAGTCCGTTTTCCCCAACGATTTGACATCTCAGATATATTTATATAGGCTGACTCTTTCATACCTTCTTAAGGGGACATGAAAGTGGTACCTGAAGAATCAACCGTTCGTGAAACTTTTCTTCGAACTGGGTCTACCGAATCGTTTCAAATTTGACAGCGAGAATATAAAGGCGATAAGAAAGGTCCTGACCCCCAGAAAATTTCAATTTTATACAAAATTGTAAAAATGTCTATTAACAAATTGTATAAAAACTTGAAACTTGTGGGGATCATGATTTTCCTTATAGTTTCCATATTCACGATGTAAGATTTGAAATCACTTGGTACACCCAGTTCGGAGAAGAGTTTCATAAACGAGACCTCTTTAACGCCACCTTAAGGAAGTAATTTATGAAAAAGTGAAGGTGAGGGTAACAAGATGGATTCCTTATGAATTTTTTTTATCCGTGTTTTTTTGACATCCCATCGAGAACGGGGTTACCGGCGACGACCCTTGGGTACTATTTGTTGAAATTTGACAAAACTTTGCTTTGCAATGGTCTGGGTGGCGCAATTGATCTGGCAGAAAATCCAGTCGGCAAGATTGGCGGGATCCTACTTGGAGGATCTTTCTGTGGCTTTTTGCGCTTTTTTCTTTTTGTGCGCACCTCGAAGAGCGCCGCGAAGGATCTGGGAGGAAGCGGGAGAGAGATGTTTTACGGCCCACCCCTGTCTTTTTGTCGCGCGATGATTTCGGTGGGAGAGAAAGACGGCAAAGGGAGAGAAAGAGGGCCGACAGAGGCGGAGGAGAGGACGGTTGGACGCTATCGGCCGCGGCCCCATTAAGCTCTTATTAATTGCGCAGATCTAAAGGGACCGACCGCCTTTCTTGCGCTACCTGCGCGCCATTCCGTCCCACGAAGGACTGGGACCGACCCAAGGGAACCTGGAACCTGGAACGGACTCCTCTAGACCGCGGCTTTGCCCACTTGGACACGGAAACGATACCTAGGGATCCTTCCCAGATCCCTGACTTCAGACTCTCGCAAATCCACTCCGTTCCACACATGACTGGGAAAAAAAATCCAGACGGCAAAATTTCTGGACGAATTCAGACATTTTTAGGACAGGATCATCAATGTCAAGAACAAGGACGAGATTAGAACGGGTAATTTAAATTAGACCTAATAGTTTGTAAGCACGTTGAGATGCTGATGATCTGGGGTGAATTCCATTTAGGTCGCCTTGATCGTGGGTGAACGATGTGAATGTTGAAAATATGACGTAAACGATATTTTTAGGACAGGATCATCAACGTCAAGAATAAAAACGAGATTAGGACGGGTTATTTAAATTAGACCTAATAGCTTGTAAGCACGTTGAGATGTTGATGATCTGAGGTGAATTCCATTTAGGTCACCTTGGTTATGGTTGATCAATTATTTGACAGGTGTAGTGGTTTTTGTATCGGGAGGTCCTATCGCCGTTCCGATAGGGACATTTTCACTTAATCTCGTTTCCTCGGTCGGAAGATCCGGATCCAGTTCCCTGTCTCGATCGTTCCCCCTATCGCTCGATCAGGCTTGTCAGGACCAATTAGGGAGATCCAGAGTACGTCTTAGGAACGGCAATAATAGACGGATTCCCGTTTCTTTCATCAAGGAACCCGCTCCTCCGCGAGTCACCCAGTAGTCGTCGAAGGATCCTGGAGGGGTTCGAGGGAGGGATGGGACCAACACAATCCCACGGGCTCGGAGCAATCAAACCGTTGTTCTGTCTTAATCACTTTATTATAAATAAGCTCGTTACAAATGAACAGTTCCGCAATCCGCACACTTCCGTTCGACCCTGGGATGGTGTTGGCAGGAACCCCTTAGAGCCTCTCCAAAGTCGCACAAGTACGAAGCGAGCGAATGTTCATACTTCCCAACATTTTTAAGTAATGACAAATTTAATCAGATTAAATTCTCTAATCTCTCAGAAGCGTTAGATTACTTTTTACCACCCGACCGTATCGTTTATTCAAAGTCTGCCTAAAATTAAAACGATCTCTTCAGCGACCGGCCAGTTCCCCAACATTTTTCCATCTTAACACCTTGAACATCCCACATTCGCTGAACCTCGTAAATTCGTCCTCGATTGGACGGAAATCTCCACCCTGGAGGATCTACTCCATCAACCAGGGTGCTCCAAAATAAGTGTGGTCTTCGCGTTCGTACTTGGGACTTCCTCCCACCAGAGGACCACCCCCGATGTAGAACGGACACCAACCCCATGGTTCGATCGCCCCCTGGGATTCCCCACCCTAGGCGAACGTCGTTCTAGCCATCGGGAAAGGAACACGGTCCTACATCACCCCATATCACCCTATATCACCCCACATCACCCCACGTCCCACACCACCGAGTTGTGCTGGGCATCGGTCGCCATCCAAATCGTTCCACCGCCTCTTAGGGGGCTCGGGGGTGGCTTAATTCAGGTCCAGTACTCACCGGACAGGGGTGCGTAGGAACCGTGGGGGTAGGGGGGCGCCGAGGACGCGTCGACGAGGGATTGCGACGGCGTCGCCGACGTCCAATCCTTGTAGGAGGCCGCGGCGTGCGCATGGTGGGCCGCGTGGTGGGATGTGTGGTGTCCTAGGCTCCTGGCACCACCCAACAACAGACCACCGTAACTCGCTGCGGCCGCCATGTTGTGGTGGTGGTACTCGTGCACAGCTCTGCGAACATGGAGGACGGTCCGGATTAGAAGTGGCTGATAGATATACCACACATACGGATCAATTCTACGTTAATGTCCAAAGAGACCGTGTGTACAATGATTAATATTGGAATCTCGAGATTCGCGCTCCGATGTTGGGATCAGAATTTGGAAACAGCTCAAGAGACCGAATGAAAAGGAACAAGGCTTTAAAACCACCAGTGTTACATCCTGGGAAACGAATCCTTTTGTTTTTAGGGAATTCTTTGAATGGTAAGCTTCGGTAATTCATTTCTGCATCCTGTAAATGAACAACCCAAACTTCCCGATTTCTGTGTTTAGCTGGGAATGAAATATATGTCTGAACGAGGGTGAGATATGTGTGTGGGTCGAAATGATAAAGGAGGTGCGTAGAACGTGTTGGTCATCTTGAGACACGGTAAGACGCCATCCATGAGGAGAGGATTTGTAGTGGGAGGATGTCTGGTCACCTTGCCTTCGCGAGACTTGATAAGCAATTGGACAATTAAATTTTGGGATTTACCTGTGATGGTACGGCGGGTAGTGCGAGTGCCAGGGATCCGAGGAATAGTCGTAAACGTCGCTCGGGTGGCTGTTCCAGAAGGACGGGGGAAAGTTCCTCGTAGACATCGGGGAGATGTTCTCTGCAACAGAGACGGTTTACGGCTTAACGATAGCTTCTCGATGGTTGATCTCGTCGCCTCCTGGAGAGGGATCGACGCGCGGACGAACGTATCGGAGATTTAGGAAGCATTTCTGGGATTCTGGCGCGTTCCCGCCGCGCGAAGAATTCGGTAAGCGGACGCCGACGTTGCGTACAGGTGATCCATCCCGGAATTCATGGGCGGGATTCTTCGTGCGAGAGCGGGGCGCCAGAATTTCCAGCAACGCGTGCTAAATTCTCTTCCGAGGTCCCTATGAATAGTCCGGAGTGCGCCAACTTCTCTATTACTCCGTCCCGCGCGAAGGAAACGGCGCCAGCTGGCGGAAGGATTTTCCAAGCTCGAAGGATCCCCAGCCTAGACTCCTGCTTTTGGACCCAAGAATTGGTAAAGACATCCCTTTCGGTTATACTAAAATAATATAGGCAAAGGATTGCCACTCTGTGACCATTTAGGTGCAACACCTGACGACGCGACGCGGACGCAGTCGCGCGTCTCCCTTAACTGGCTCTAACAAGGAAGGTACCTGAGGTGTCCCCCTCCGATTTTGTTCATTTTTAAATATGTTATAGAGGACTAAAATCTAAGGGACCCGTGTTTTTTTTTATCGGCGGATAAACACTTTTAGGGGGTGAAATCAGGCTTCAAAGTTGGCCGTGCAAGGGGGTGAGTTGGCTGTTTCATATAGAAGCACTCGACCGATTTTCATGAAACAACCGTCAAAATGTAGGGAATGAAGAATTATGAAACATGCATTTGGAATTTTTCGAAAAAATTCATTTTTAAGGGGTGAGCCACCCCTTTGAATACTTCCTTTACCCCTTACGCGAGCAGTAATTGTTCTATCCAAATGAAACTTTTTTTGTATTGTTCTGGTCTGTAAATTAACCAAGTTTCATTTGGATAGAGCAATTACTGCTCGCGTAAGGGGTAAAAGAAGTATTCAAAGGGGTGGCTCACCCCTTAAAAACGAATTTTTTCGAAAAATTCCAAATGCATGTTTCATAATTCTTCATTCCCTACATTTTGACAGTTGTTTCATGAAAATCGGTCGAGTGCTTCTACATGAAACAGCCAACTTATCCCCTTGCAGGGCCAACCTTGAAGCCTGATTTCACCCCCTAAAAGTGTTTATCCGCCGATAAAAAAAAACACGGGTCCCTTAGATTTTAGTTCCCTATAACATATTTAAAAATGAACAAAATCGGAGGGGGACACCTCAGGTACCTTCCTTGTAAGAGCTCACAAGAAACTAATAATTATCCCGTTCTAATAATTCACGAAAACAATTGTTCTCAATTTGTCAAATTACCACACCTAATGAACAAAAAAAAAGGACATTCACCCTCTTAATCGCATTTACGGGAAAAATGATTGCAGAAGTACCAGCCGAGAATGCAACCAAACAATACCTTCCTCTAGGAAACATAGTATCTAAATCAGGTAATACATTTTTAAGTAAACCAAAAGTATTCTCGTTGCCATTCAATAGAACTAACGACGTGCAGTTTGTTGTTGCTAGGAAAGAACGTTGCCCTCAAAAATAGTTTTGTGCATTTTTCACGTTATCTTCCTGCGTGGATCAATTATCGGTTGGATGGTAAGGCCCATGATCGACGAATGAATGCGACAACGCGCTATTGGGCGTTCCATCATGTGCGAATCTCTTATCCGACCCTATCGGTCCCAATTCGACGATGATCGGCACCCATGTTCGACGAATAAATGCAACAACGCGCTATCTGGCGTTTGACCATGTGCGAATCTCTTGTACAACCCTATCGGTCCCAATTCGACGATGATCGACCCATGATCGATGAAAGAATGAGACAACGCGCTATCGGGCGTTTGACCATGTGCGAATCTCTTATACAACCCTATCGGTCCCAATTCGACGATGATCGACTTCCATGTTCGACGAATGAATGCAACAACGCGCTATCGGGCGTTTGACCATGTGCGAATCTCTTATACAACCCTATCGGTCCCAATTCGACGATGACCGACACCCATGATCGACCCATGATCGACGAATAAATGCAACAACGCGCTATCTGGCGTTTGACCATGTGCGAATCTCTTATCTGACCCTATCGGTCCCAATTCGACGGTGATCGACACCCATGATCGACCCATGATCGACGAATAAATGCAACAACGCACTATCGGATGTTCCACCATGTGCGAATTTCTTATCCGACCCTATCGGTCCCAATTCCTCCGAGATCCCGGATGAGAAAGCCGGCAGGGAATCGATCTCGGGCCCAAGATTCGATATTGTAATTCGGTCGCGCGCATCGGGCCCGTCCCACGGAGCCACCCGCGACACGGGGCCGCATAAAGAAGCCAGTCCGCATTGTTTCCCACGCGCGGAATGCCGCGCTCCGAGGTTTCGCCGTCGAGGAGGTGGCGGCCGGGGGGCCTTACACCCTCCTACCAGGCCGCGTGCGTAAAATATGCTTCTCGGCCGCGTCGACGGCCGCGGAGCCACGGATTGGCTCAGCGGTGTCATCCTGCCGGGCCGGGACTAACTATCGCGTTAAATATTGCGATTTGCTTGCGAGAGATGCGAGATAGGGCCCCGTCCCCTTTCCAGGCGGCGTCCTGCGGCCGCTTCGATTCCCTGCTCTCTCTCTCTCTCTCTTTCTCTCTCTCCTGCCCCGGCTTGGCTGGCCCAGCCGGACCTGGCCCCGAGGCTGGGCCCGGTCCCCTGGTCCGGCGTCCTTTATTTATTAACGCAATTAAAGAAACAGAGTGTCGGCCTGCGCGCGCGGTCGGCTTTCTTCTGTGCCCGATGTGCCGCCGATGCGTGCCCCGTGGACGCTGCCCGATGCTCCCAAACTGGGGAACCTCCGCGAACTTTCAACCTCCGATCGCTTTATCGACAACCGCGTCTCCGGCAATGTCGCCGGAAGTTATTTCGAACCTCTGCGAGACTTTGGCCGTGAATCGCGGCGATTTTAAGGTGAAGTGAAACACGTCGAGGAACTTGATCAACGTCGATAAAGAAGATTTTTCTAAATGCCTACGTTGCCGACGTTCGTTTTTATATTGACAGCTGGGTCGAATTATATTGGATATTGTACCAAATGGCATACTCCACCTGTCGTTTTCGTACAATAATTATAAAGAAATCGAAGTAAAACTCCAGAAATCCTCTGGATTCGTGCCTTCTGGGGCCCTAATTGACTGCGGAGGCACCCCCTGCGCCATCTGTGATTTCCAGGTCAATTAAATTTTCACTCCGAGACCTCGTATTACTATCGTTTTAGCAAAGAAGCGCATACAACACTTTTTTTGCCTTTATCCCGTTCAAATGCGAGTTTATCGATTACCAGAGTGTTCCAAATTGTCGTAAAATTGTCCTGACCCTTTCGATTCTCATATCAGAGCCTTCGATAATTGTATATTGATCGAAATATGAGAGCTCGACGCCATTTTCGTTCTGGTCTGGACTGAGTTAAAACATTTTTTTGAAAAATCCAAATTTTTAATGTGTCAGGACAATTCTTAGATGATCAGGAGTAATGTGTCAAAGTTTCGGACAGTTTGGTCTAATACCCTTAAAAAAAAGTGTTGTATTCGAATCGACTGATTTGAAGGATGTTTCACTTCACCTTAAGAGGATATGAAAAAGTCAGCCTATGTATATCTCGGAGAAGTCAAATCGTTGGGGAAAATATTCCCCGAATTGGGTGTACCGATTCGTTTCATATTTTACCACGGGAATGTGGAGGCCCTAAAGTAGGTCCTGAAACTCATGAAATTTGATTTTTCATCAAAAATTTATTTACTTATCATGCACTAGAACCAACATGGCGTGGTCCGTGGACGTTTTCGATGTTTTACGCTTCTTGGAGGGTTAGAATCGAAAATGAAGAGTTTCAGGACCTAGCTCGAACAATTAACAATTAATATGAAAGTAACGGCCGAGGGATCGTTTGTAATATTTTTCATCGAGATGGTTGTAGCGAATTTTTTGAAATTTTACCTCAGGGGGGCCCCCGTGACGTTTTAATTTTTTTGAAATTATTTATAAACGTTTACCAGGTTTCTAATATAAAAAGAAAACTTTCTTGGGGCCTTCGGGTTCAAGTGATAAAATTTGAAACGATTCGATAGACCCAGATTGGAGAAAAGTTTCATTAATTACTGAAACCTCGGATGCCACTTTCGTGTCACCTTAAGCTTCCGATCGAGGACCGTCATGGATTTGGGTGTGGTGGAACTTGAGTTGCGAGTGGACGATTTTGCCGGGGAAACCACACTAGTGTCCGATGGACACCACTTTAGCGGAGAAACACACATCCGACAAAATGGACAACGCAGGGAAAGGGCGATCTGATAAGTCCACGGATTTACAGCCTCGCAGTTTTCGACAACAAAACTATCTGCCGTGTCCATCCACCTATCCTTAGACAACGATCTTAGGCCATGGGACAAATGCCCAAACGCTCTACCGATTGGGCGTCTAAGGTGAACATTTGCTTTGGTGTCGTTGCTTTGGTTTGAATGGTGTCCAAGTCCTGGAGAACGTAGATTTCGAAGAAGTGGATGATGTTAAAGTCACCGTGAATGCCTTGCTTAACCGCAACATGAACCTAAGAATCGGTCAGTCAAACCCAGGTAACGATAAATTATTGCGAAATCTCTGTGTAAACCAATTTATACAGAGGTGACTGCCGTATGGACGCTAAAAAAGAGCTGGATTTGTCTGCACGGACCACGAATCGCTACGATTTATCGTCACTCGTGTACCGTTTATCGTGACGTTTAGAAGTCTTATTACGCAAAGGATCCGAGATCCTAGCAACCACTAGAATGCTGAGCCCTGCAGTTTAGGTTTTCACCAAGTATTTATACAGGTGGAACAGTATCAGGAGGTGTTTCCACGAGTAGATTCCCAGTTCTTCCCGTACCTTTACGCTTACTGTTACACAAGGTATTTGAGAAGTCCTTAAGGTGGTGCAACACCCTTCAAATCAGTTGATTCGAATACAACACTTTTTCTTGAGGGTATTCCAAACTCTCCGAAACTTTGACACATCACTCCTGATCATCTAAGAATTGTCCTGACACATTCAAAATTTGGATTTTTTAAAAAAACTTTTTAACTCAGCCCTGACCAGAACCAAAATGGCGTCGAGCTCTCATATTTCGATCAATATACAATTATCGACGGCTCTGATATGGGAATCGAAAGGGTCAGGACAATTCTACGACAATTTAGAACCCTCTGGTAATCGATAAACTCGCATTTGGACGGGATAAAGGCAAAAAAAGTGTTGTATGTGCTTGTATGGTAATACGACGTCTCGGAGTAAAGATTTAATGAACCTGGAAATCACAGATGGCGCAGGGGGTACCACTGCAGTCAATTAGGGCCCCAGAAAGCATGAATCCAGAGGATTTCTGGCGTTTTACTTCGATTTCTTTATAATTATTGTACGAAAACGACAGGTGGAGTATGCCATTTGGTATAAAACCCAATATAATTCGACACGGCTGTCAATATAACAACGAACGTCGGCAACGTAGGCATTTAGAAAAATCGTCTCTATCGACGTCGATCAAGTTCCTCGACGTGTTTCACTTCACCTTAACACCCACTCCAATACTGGGATATACGGTCTAGGTTTGCCCCAACTACACGTACAGGTGTAAGCACATCAGCGAGTGCTCCCGCAAGATGGACAAGCCTTGTCGCGTCTTCTTGTCGACGACTTCTCTGCCTTAATCCGGTGCGGTATAGACACGTCGCTCGACGTCGGATGCCTCGATTCGTCAAGACGTAAGCCGGCCTGGATTGATGTCGCCGCGGCGCCGGATGGCTTGTTATTCCGATTTAGAGCACTCCCTCGCCGCTCTTTGAAGACGCCGGGCGTCGTGTCAAGTAATTGCGACGCTGTTGCTGCGAGAGCACCAGCAGCGACTCCAGGCAGGCGTTAATTTGACGCCACCGCGCGGAACGACTCGCTCAATTTCCCGGCTTCAACGTTATTACCGATGGCGACCCCGACCGCGACTTTATGCTCCGGTGAGATGCACTTGGATGCATCCTACCGTGCCACGAATTTGGCACGGCGGTTTCCTCGCGATCCTGATCACGAATCTTGGTTCCCGAATGACTGGACCCACCTCGATCGGCAAAATCTACCGATTCCAAAGTTCTCTGCCAATCGACCACCTTTGTAGTGCCGATCGCCACATGAACGGTTACCTCGCCTAGAGTCCACTCTGTATTCGATCCACCCCCAATAGTCTCCTCCTCGTCGACTCTTTATCTACCCCAAATCCAAAATCGTTTCATCCCCCATTTCTCTATTCCTCAGAGACCCTTCATCGTTGCACATCTCAGGGAGCCAGGGGAGCATTTCGGTTCTGGTGGACGTGCGTACTTCACCTTCTCTCAGATCCCAGCCTTCTGTATCAATTAACCAACTTTGTGGTGCCGATCAGCACATGGACCTGAACTCGCCTAGTCTCCTCTGGTTTCGATCCACGTTCGATCCACCCCCAATAGTCTCCTCCTCGTCGACTCTTCATCTACCCCAAACCCAAAATCATCTCATGGGACCCCCTAATTCCCTCCAGCCATCCAAACCCCGAACCAGTCTTTCCGATCCAGAAAGCTGCAATCTCGGAAGAACGTTGCACGTCCCAGGGAGCCAGGGCATTTCTGTCCTGGCGAATGTGCGTGCTTCACCTTCTCTCCTTGCGCGTTACCCGGCATTCCGGGGCTAAAACCGTCTGGCGTTTTCTCTGTCTCTCTCTGCCCGCTCCTCTCCTCCGTTGGGCGACGCGCTCCCTCGTTCTCCACTCTCTCCCTCCGTCTCTCCCAGGCATCTCTTTCCGCGAGTGCCCTCCACCTCTCTCCGTCGTTCCACCCCGGGGTCTCCTCGTCTCTCTTTCTCCGGCGAGCCTCTCCTCTCCTTCGCCAGGAGAGGAGCTCTTAATTTACCTCTCCTGCCCCACCGTGCACCAGCGGAGCGGCGAGGAAGAGGAGGCGGCGGAGGAGGCAGAAGGCACATAACAATTAGGTCGTGTTGTCTTGAATTCTAAGCAGGCTAGTGAACTGATCCTGAGTGGCGGTGGGATAAATGCGGCCTTAAACGACACCGATATAGCCGCTACGCTGATCGCTTGCCAAACCTCCTTGCGTCTCCTTTACCCTCCCCTCTAGCTGTCCTGCCCCTCTCCCTCTCCGCCGGTCGCGGCATCCCGGCCTTTAACTCGCGGACCCACGACGGCGGAACAATCGTTAGGGGCTTGTTAGCGTTGTCGGCCTAATGGCGCACTTTATTACTTCGACCGTCTCGGACGGTGCCGTCTGTCGGGATTTGGCTCCTTCGGGATAATCCTGCCGAGGTGAGGCCAACTCCGATCCGCGAATCCGTGAACCATCGCGACTGGGTGCTGATAAATGCGCGCTGAAGGTCCCTTTGGTCTTTAACTAGTACACTCGTCCAAGTGGTCTTGGCCGGCGACCCTTATGAGGAGTTTTATCTTCCCAATGTAAAGTGTTCGATTGCAAGAGGGCAGTTTAGCCTTATTCAGATGAAGTCCTTTGATTATATCCGCGGGAAAGTCCCACTCCTCGGGATGAAGGATACCGGGCTCCTTAGTACTCGTGGTAACGCGGCCTCACGCCGTAATGATTACAGCTGATCCAGCGATAAGTCGCCTTTGCGTTTCTTCAACATCCCGTGCCGCCGTTTATAAGTACATCTCCACTTATCGCAGTCTGAAGCACCCATTATTACTGTACCCTTCCTGGCCAGAAGCGCGTTGCTAGCATGTGTAGGTACCTTCGTCGAGGTTCTACTTACACCCTAAAACCTTGGGAACGCCTAACCCCCTCGGCATCAACCATAATGTCGAAGATCTGCTAGCTAAAAATGATTGGCTAAATTCTTTGCTAAGTCACAGGAGGTTATTACCTATCGCTATCGAAGATTTATTATAATCTTTATAGATTAGACATTACCACAACAAAGACTCATCTTAAAGGCCGTCCATCTAGAAATGCGTTGTTTATATTCTGTATTGGTGATTCTTCGTTTCCCAATTTTCTACTTGCGTCCCATAACCTCGATAACTCCGAACGCCTAACCTATTCAGCACCAACTATAAAGTCGAATATTTGCGAGGTGAAAAAAGAAAAGAATTGGTAAAACTCTTTGCTGAATTACAAGGCATCACCCGCCAGGGTGGAAGGGTTACTAAAACCTTCATAGACTAGACCCTACAACTCGGACGCGTCCTGGGAACAATTCTAGAGTGCAGTCCTTGAACCCGTTCGATTCTTGGCTTGCAGACCGCTTTCGCCATATTTGGAGCCGCCAATAGACTCGAAATAAGTCGCGAAGGTTGCCATTCGATTAAAGAGACGTGGAAAAAAATTCACCTTTGAGCTTGTCGTGAGCCAGGGCCCTCTGGAAGTGTTCCTCCACCTCGGATGCTGCATCCCCTCTGTAGTGGGTGAACACCACGCAGTTCGCGTTCACGTATTGGGCTCTGCTCTCTCCATCGTCCGAGTCCTCTGCCGCGGTACCAGCACCTGCGGCTACATGACAATGAGCCAAGAATCTACGATACTCTACGTCAGTAAGTAACAATGATAACGAAATACCCTATCAGGCTTTACCCTGTGTTTTTGTGTGATTTTTATTCTTTAGATTTGCCACATCACGCGTTTTTTCAAATCATGAATACGACACATGAGAACACTATTTCAGGAGAACCGAGCTTCAGTCAACCTTCATGTGCAGAAATTACCGGTAGACTACATATGTTCGATAGGTCTGAAGCTGCCCAACAATCGCGGACGAAATTAGAACACACCGCAACAATAGATCCTTAGACCGCTAGGCAAACACCCCGAGACACTCTTTGACACGCACTGATGACGGACAGGGTATATTTAACACAGTGTTGCGGCGTACTCTAAATGACAGACATACCATGATATATTCCCAAACTTCCTGACCATTGCTGATGTGACGGGGAATTTAAAAAAGGATGCCTTATACAGGGAAATTACTGCACATGGTGTTCCGTGTCCTGATTAAGGAATCGGGGATTTATCCCATTTAATGAAATCTCGTATTGGTTTAATCAGCTGGCATTTAGATCATTTAAACCGAGGTATATAATGTTTATTGTATAAATAACTTTTCATTACGACGTATTAGTAGGGTTATATCATATTAGATATTATCAGATGATTTACCGTCGGTGGATCGGTCGTCGTCTAAGGTTCTCGAAGGTTGCGACGTCGTCGTCGACAAGGGAGGTCTCGACTGTCCAGTAGGTCGAGGTGACGCCGGACTAGGTGCAGAACCTACGGAACCCGCACTGCTGGGTTGTCCCTGAGGAACACTGCTCCCAGCACCGCAAATCTCGAGACCCGCCGCTTCCAGGGACCTTTGGTGAATGTTCAACTGAAATGATAAAAATATTTATTCTCAACGTTTCAACGTAACTCGGCACCCTCCTTGCTCCGGAATATGAATAAAACTCGAGGGAATTTCATTAATGATATTTAAGGTGAAGTGAAACATCCTTCAAATCAGTCGATTCGAATACAACACTTTTTTTTAAGGGTATTAGATCAAACTGTCCGAAACTTTGACACATCACTCCTGATCATCTAAGAATTGTCCTGACACATTAAAAATTTGGATTTTTCAAAACAATTTTTTAACTCAGTCCAGATCAGAACCAAAATGGCGTCGAGCTCTGATATTTCGATCAATATACAATTATCGAAGGCTCTGATATGAGAATCGAAAGGGTCAGGACAATTTTACGACAATTTAGAACACTCTGGTAATCGATAAACTCGCATTTGAACGGGATAAAGGCAAAAAAAGTGTTGTATGCGCTTCTTTGCTAAAACGATGGTAATACGAGGTCTCGGAGTGAAAATTTAATTAACCTGGAAATCACAGATGACGGAGGGGGTCCCTCCGCAGTCAATTAGGGCCCCAGAAGGCATGAATCCAGAGGTTTTCTGGAGTTTTATTTCGATTTCTTTATAATTATTGTACGAAAACGACAGGTGGAGTATGCCATTTGGTATAAAACCCAATATAATTCGACACGGCTGTCAATATAAAAACGAATGACGGCAACGTAGGCATTTAGAAAAATCTTCTTTATCGACGTTGATCAAGTTCCTCGACGTGTTTCACTTCACCTTAAGGTGATATGAAAGAGTCAGCCTATATATGTATCTGCGAAGTTAAATCGCTGGGGTAAGTATTCTCCGAATTGGGTGTACCGATTCGTTTGAAATTTTACCACGGGAATATGGAGGCCCTAAAGTAGGTCCTGAAACTCATGAAATTTGATTTTTCTTCAAAAATTGATTTACTTATCATGGACTAGAACCAACACCGCGTGGTCCGTACACGTTTTCGATGTTTTACGCTTCTTGGGGGGTTAGAATCGAAAATGAAGAATTTCAGGACCTAGCTCGAACAATTAAGAATACCGTAGAAATGGAATATTACAGACTCAGATAGGAAAATGTGGGAAATACTTTCCCGAACGATACGTGTTTTTAGGATAAAAATTTAGTTGCAGCTAAATGTCACAGATGGCGACGTTGGTTCATCAAAATATAAAAGAGTCATGAATTCATGGGATTTCGGCAGTTTTACATCGATCTCTTCATCATTACATTACCGAGATGACAAATGGAACCCTTCAGTTCGCATAATTCTCATCGTAGACTGTAAAAGACTTCAACATAAATATAAATGTCACTAATGGGACGTGCCAGCTTATGTTACCACTTGAGTATTCAAAACGGCATTACCCCCAAAAAGGGTACAGATGAATTTTACTTTATCGACGTCGATTAAATTTCTTAGCGCCTCTCATATCCTCTTAAAGTGACAAACTTCACAGGGGTAGAACCTCGATGGGCGATTTCCACCAACCACGACCTGGATGGGGTAAATTCGGAGATTCATTGATTATCGTTTAAGATCCTGAGGTGGTCCAGGGTAAACTATGGCAGTATATCACGAGGGACACGCCGTTAAAGACAGGGAAGGCCCGAAACACCATAAACCTATAAAAGCACGAACGCTCCAGCAGGTCGCGAGGAATTCCTCTGATTTCGGCGCGCAACAATGGAATTTACGACGTGGGTCGTTACGGGAAAACTCATAAACCCAACTGTGCTAAACCCGACGAAACGTCGATGGCGTCTCCGCCGTTGCTCCAGAACCGTCGCGTATCCTGCTAAAACACCGAACTCGGGGGTGACTTCCTATTAAGGGGATGAAACGATCGTCACCAACCGCGGAATTTTCTAATCCGAGAACTTCTACGTACATCTTGAATTTATCCCGCAAATCCGGCGTTCGAGGCAACACTTTATTTATGAATCGCATCTTTTAGCAGCTTAACATTTCTACCGTAGAAATTTCTACTGTGGAAATACCACTTCTTTTTAAAGAGACTTGACCCTTTGCGATCGAAAAGTACCACTCAATCCCTACTAAATATATTATAACACAAATTTCGAATGCAAAGGGTTAAAATACCTCAACATGAATTAATTCCTACCGGTGAACCAACTCTCATAATACGTTTATACGTTATTGCGTTAAAAATTAGCATCTCTCTATGTGGTCTCCTAGGACAAACATATTTTATGGATAAAATAACCGGTGAGATGATGTGAAAGTGGCGTCAAAGAGGTCTCATTTGTGAAACTTTTCACCAAACTGGGTATACCGAATTCTTTTAAGCTTTACAGCGCAAATATGGAGGCCATAAGAAAGGTCTTGACACCCATGAAACGTCAATTTCTTTTTAAATAGACATTTATACATTTTATTATAAAAACTGAAATTTCGTCGATGTCAGGGTCTTCCTTATAGCCTCCATACCCAGGTTGAAAAACTTTAAACGATTCGGTACATCCAGTTCGAAGAAAAGCTTCATGAACGATTCATTCATCACCTTCACGAACGAAACATCGCAACCGGAAAATATTTTCCGTTTCAAATACTGAGTACCGACGAAAATAATGAAATTCTGAAACTGGTTGCCGCAAACTTGTATCGTGTATCGTCATGGACGTGATTCACGTCAGCGGCAATCAGGAATGGAATTTAAAAAGACGTGCATTCACGTCAGTGGCAACCAGGAATAGAACTTGAAAAGACGTGAATTCACGTCAGCGTAAATTAGGAATAGAACTTGAAAAGACGTGAATTCACGTCAGGGGAAATCAGGGATAGAATTTAAAACGACGTGAAGTCACGTCAATGACACCCAGGAATAGAATTTAAAACGACGTGAATTCACGTCAGTGGCAACCAGGGATAGAGCTTGAAAAGACGTGAATTCACGTCAGCTTAAATCAGGAATAGAACTTGAAAAGACGTGAATTCACGTCAGTGGAGATCAGGGATAGGATTTAAAACGACGTGAATTCACGTCAGTGACAACCAGGAATAGAATTTAGAATGACGTGAATTCACGTCAGTGGCAACCAGGATAGAACTTGGAAAGACGTGAATTCACGTCAGCGTAAATCAGGAATAGAACTTGAAAAGACGTGAATTCATGTCAGTGGAAATCAGGGATAGGATTTAAAACGACGTGAATTCACGTCAATGACAACCAGGAATAGAATTTAAAATGACGTGAATTCACGTCAGTGGCAACCAGGGATAGGATTTAAAACGGCGTGAATTCACGTCAATGACAACCAGGAATAGAATTTAAAATGACGTGAATTCACGTCAGTGGCAACCAGGGTTAGAGCTTGAAAAGACGTGAATTCACGTCAGCGCTCGCGAATGTGTTAACGACCTAATCTTCGTAGATTTGACAAAGAGATCCCTGAAGATATAAAATAGTAAATTTTCATTAAAAGAACCTATCTTATAAGTCAAGGATTCTTTCGCCAGCTCAAGAAGTCCAGAAACATTGTACTGAAACGTCTGACCCAGAAACGACGACGTTCTGAGACGCGCTTCCACCGCGGGGTGAAAATTCACAAAAGATTTGCCCGTGACCCCGTGGAGAACGGAAAAGGGGAAAAACGTCGAGGTGCCAAAAATCCTCGGTACGTCCAGAACGCGGAGTAGCATCCGCGAGGCGTCGGCCAGGTTCGCTTGTAATCTCCTCGCACTTGGAGCGATTAGCTGGCCGCGGTATTTGGCAATGGCGTCGCGAGGGCACCGCGCCGCCGACGTCCGCTGACAGGCCTACGTCGGGTTCAGCACCGGCGATTACGCCCGTGCGAGACAGAGGGAGCCCTCCATTGAGCACATAGCGACGCCGAGCGTCGGCGTCCATTGTGGGCCCTGCCGGCACTGCAAATAGCGCGAGGAGCTCGCTATGCGACTGCTCGCCAACGAATAGCTGGATCGAGAATTTTCATCCCCGCCACTTAAGGATAATTGTTTGTACATTGTCCGCCGTTTAATTCAGTTACTATTTAATTAATAAGTATAGGTTGGGATTGCATTAAAAGTCATTGTTTTACGTGGCGCATGATTTTTCAAAGGCGTGAAATTTGTTAGAATTCGGCTTATCAAAATTGCGATCGCTCGCGAGCGAATAGCTGGATCGAGAAGTTTCATCCCCGCCACTTAGGGATAATTATTTGTACACTGTACGCGGAGTAATTCTACCGGGCGAAAGATTTTACGAAGGCGCGAAATTCATCAGAATTCGCATTATCAAAATTGCGACCGGTCGCGAGCGAATAGCTGGATCGAGAAGTTTCATCCCCGCCACTTAGGGATAATTATTTGTACACTGTACGCGGTGTAATTCTACCGGGCGCAAGATTTTTTGAAGGCACGAAATTCATCAGAATTCGCCTTATCAAAATTGCGACCGCTCGTGAGCGAATAGCTGGACCGAGACGCTTCATCCCCGCCACTTAAGGATAATCATTTAGACATTGTCCGCGGTTTAATTCAATTACTATTTAATTAATACGTACAGGGTACGATTACATTGAAAGTCAACAAATGTGTAATTGCATTTATACCGAATACAAGATGGCTCGGTGACGAGAGATTTGCTAGAATTTGCTTCAACCAAACCGAGTACCGCGGATTAAGCAGAGCGAATAATTACATAAGTAATTCCTTTTGAATGCCTCAAATAAGAGGATAAAGTGATCCATTCGTATCTTGTTACAGAAGTCCAGCATTCGGAGCCTGCAGATAAGTGACGTTCTCTCGATTAACTCCGTTCGATAGGCCGTACATTAGCGCCGGTATGTAAAATAGACGAAGAAGAGTCGCTTATCAGGAGTACGATATGTGCCGGATATTCGCATTAAGGAAACCGTGTAAATAATTACGAAGGAGCAAATCGAGGGATTTTAATCGATGGAAAAATTGAGGCCTTTTATTGGTGTCTGTATTTGACTATTACGATTTTTTTTTAAATGTAG